TCGCTGGACTTGTGCCTTTGACGGAAAATCTTGCAGCCATCCAGCTTTTCCCGATGGCGCAAAAGACTTTCGGAGGAGTTCGCACGGACCTGCAGTGCCGAGTGTTGAATCGGTCGAATAGGCAGATATCTGGACTTTACGCCGCAGGAGAGGTAGCAGGGATGGCCGGGGGATGCATCAACGGACGGGCTGCGCTTGAGGGAACAATGTATGGACCCTGCATTTACTCGGGAAGAGTTGCTGGTAGAGCTGTGAGAGCGAAGACATCACATGGCTGATCCGAGAACCAGGAGGCGGTAGTGGACGAGTCAGAGCTGTGAGGCAGCTTTCCCCTGTGCACACCCTCCGCGGACTCTCCGCGGACGCCTCGAGATTTAGGTTCAAGCGACCCCTCGCTCGCAATTAGATCGTCTAGGTCAGTCACCATTACTTGCAGAGGAGGGCGTAGCAAAATAGAAAGGACATTTGCTGATCGGAAGGCTTCCTTATTTGTCACCTGTCCGAGAACAACGAGGCACACTCGGCTATTTCTGTATTGCCCAACAAGGCTAGCCGCTAATGAGTCTCCACTATGGGGTTCTGGGGTCGCCTCCCCGCCCTACCGTCTCGGCTAGGTATATGTAATTTAGTCCTTCTTGCAAAGAGTTCTACCCCGCGCTCTTTGCTCCGATAGTGCCGAGACCCCTGTTGTCATTGACATGATTGTACCATAGCTGCTTCCAATCACCTCGTTACGTGCGACTTTACTCTGCAACAGGGCTTCCTTCCATCTTGAAGCCTTCACTCTCTGGGATAAAAGATCCTAAGTGACACTGTCCTCAGCCATTCCTGATGTTGCACGATGAAGAGGACGTGGGAGGCTTCTGGCGATCAGAGGCCGAAAGCTCCTCGGCGACAAGAGCCAGTTTCATGCCAGTTTTGCCGGAGCAAGAAGCTGAGATGTGATCGATTGACGCCTTGCTCCAATTGTTCCTCCAGACACATTCCATGTGTCCCAGCTCTCCAAGGTCAGTGAAAGTTGATAGTATCGACAGTATGTGGCCATTCAGGAAATTGCCGATTTGGAATACATGAGCAGCCCTCACTACAGCCTCGGTCCTCGCAGAGTTTCTTTCAACTTGAGCTACATGCATCCTGATTCCTGTGTGAACATTTTCAGCTGTAGCTGGGTGCGAGCACAGCCTCCTTTTACCGTCTTTTCTCTCCTCGGAACTGACTCACCGATTAGGCTCCATCCGTACAACGACACAACCAGAAAGTACGGTTGAAAGACCGTCCTTAGAAGCTAGTGCTCTGCAATCTAAGTAAGTTGTGATCAAGCATCTGAGATCGCACATTGGCTAAGATTTTGATGGCAGTGAATCTGACCTCGCTGAGCGCGTACGGAGACTCGAGCAAGCCCTGTTTGCAACGGGAGAACAAAGGCAGCCTCGTCGCGACACGGCGGATCGACAAAGTGACTGGGAATTGTCTACCTCAGACGATCATGTTCACTTCCCAGCGCAGGGCCAATCGGACCATGAAGCTGACGCTCCGCAAGGCCCGGAGATCGTTGAATATCCTGCGCCTGGCACCGAGGTCAGGCTTCAGGCGCAGGAATTGATGTTGACCACGGTATATAATCTTCTCATCATTGCACACGTTCACGACCCGATATCGCTGATCCATCTATCACCGGATGTAGAACGAGTATTTACTCCTGGGAACAGCACCGCAATACAAACCATTACCCATCGCAGAGCTTGTTCAAATCTTGCCTACTCGCACCAAAGCGAGAAAGCTCTTCAGATTCTACGTGGACAACGTCAATTGGGATCAACACATTGTCCATGTTCCTACCACGGTCCGCGACCTCGAACTCATCTACGACCAACTCGCTGAGGGAATGAAACCAGAGGGCTTTCGGTTGGCTCTCATTGCGGCAATCTTTGCAGTGGCGGCGTATTTCTGGCCGGAGCCGCCTCCCTCAGAACCCACGCTACAAGATCCCAAAAGCTGTTGCCGGAAGTGGATTCTCCTGATTCAACATGCACTGATGGAGTCAAACCACCTGAACTTCCCCACGCTCGAAACACTGCAGGCAAAGATGCTTCTCACGCACTTTCTACCCATCTTCCCGCAGACGACGGGACGCAGGAGCTATCAAACCCAACTCGTCAACGCGGCGCACATGCTTCAAATCCATCTCGTCGACTCTCCTCGTGAGCGGGCCCTTCGGGGGAAGGATACCCGGGACGTGATAGAGCTTGAGGTCAAGAGAAGAGTGTGGTGGAACATCGTGGCGTGCGACTGGTACGTATGACAGCCTCTTCCTCCTGGGTCAAAGCGCGTCAAGGCCTTTTCTGGACATTTCGGACTAACCGATACCTAGGATGCTGTCCTTCATGACCGGGCCGCAGCTGGGCACTTACATCATCCACCCCGATCAGATGAACGTCGAGTTTCCGAGCAACATCGACGACAAGGACATTACGGCTGACGGGAACCACGACGAACCGGTCCTCGGCTCGCCCACTGAAATGACCTTCACGATCGCGAAGATCCGCGTCAGCACCGTGATCCGCGAACTCATCGACACGGCGAACAAGGCCAAGGTGAACGTCGACGAGCTCGACTATGAGCGGATCCTCGTTTTCGACAAGAAGCTGAACGACGTGTACGACACGCTGCCCCCGTATTTCCGGTACGAGGACGCCAGTCGGCCGTATGTCCAGGAGATCTACACCGCACGCCCATACCTGGAGCGGCAGCGGAACTTTCTGCTGTTTGGACTCTACATCCGGCTCTCGCTGCTCCACCGACCCTTTTTGACCCGGTCCTACAAGGAGCCACGCTACCGTTACAGCCGGATGGTTTGTCTCCGGTCGGCACGAATTGTGATCGAACTGCAAAAGGCCATGCGGGAAGTCAGCTCTGGGCGCATGTGGCTCGTCATGTACCATGTTTTCGTCGCCACCACCACACTGGTCATGGACTATGCCTGCCAACGGGACGACCCGCAAGCTGCGACGGAAAGGAAGCAGGAGATTCTCAACTGTTATCGGATCCTGGAGGAAGTCGAGGAACGAGATCCGGAAGTGAAGGAAGGATTGGCCACGCTCAAGCGCATCACAAACGAGTGGAGGATGAGGAGCGATTCCGCGCTATACGGCTCGATGGCAAAGAGGCTTCCAGACGAGGTGTCTCGGATGGCGTCTAATCCATCCCGACCGAGATCAGAGATACACCATCAGTCTCAACCTCAAATCCAAGGTCATCCTCAACACACACACCATGCGATGCGCCAGACGCCGAACGGCAAAAGAACGACAGCGGCAACAGCGACAGCGATGATGAGACCACCCACCGCTACATCGTGCGATCCGTATCTTTCGGGAGTCTCAGAAGCAACAAATAGCAATGATATTACTAACCTAGTTTCCGACCGATCAAATTGGTCCCTCGACACGACTCCTCCACAATACATCGCATCCGACATACATCATAGCGGGCCTGGAATAGATGCTGGACTGGGATGCGGAGGGCCACCGGTCCCAGACCTGTGGTTCCCACACTTTGACGCGGACTTGGACTCGACGTACGGTCTGCAGTGGGAATCGTTGTTCCGTGACTTGGAGAATCAACAAGCCCCGTTCGGTCTTTAATGGGAACTCGGAAGTATTGTGGACAGGGCAAATGGTGAACAGACTTCCGAGTTTGCAAGTAAGCCCCGATGTTGTACTCTGTAAGGGTCACAATGCTAGCGCGTCATCATGGCCAATACAATTCCGGTCCGATATATTCATCCCTGCAGGATGCGCGGCTTTTGGGGCAGTCTAGATTTCCCTCTGTCAGGTTCTGTCATGATGTCACTTATCAAGTCATTTGCGGTACTGCATCTTGACAGCAGCGAGGCTGTGAGTTGAGGACGTCGTCGGAATGGAATGTCAGATGCTGTGTGACTCTGTCGTTGGAGGGTTGAAAGGAGAAATTGGTGACCCAGCTGCATGCAATTAGCCCGCGGGATGCGAAACCCAGCGACATTCCAGGCATCTCGTACAAAGCAAGGAGACACAAATCCAGGGTGAATGCATGAACCCATGAGGATGCAGAGCAGTATAAGAAGTTGCAGCATGGCTCCGCACGCTGGCGCAAGATTCCTCTTAGCACGATGGAGACTGGTTGAAGTCGTGCTGGATCTCGGACCAATCTGCGACACAGAGGGTGTCCAGTCAATCTTAATTCACGATCATCGAAGTCCCACCTTGGAGACCGTGCTGTCGCTATCCTCTGCCTGGCACGAGCCTGTTACCCTAATAACGGGCCCCTGCGCGAAGTCAAATGTGACGGCACCCAATGTGGCTTGCAGCGTCGGCACTCGCACTGCGTTGCAGACAGGAGTGGGCAGAGTCGATGCAGAGAACAGGCCACTCTGCCAGGGTACGCCGACCTCGCTGTCATGTTCAAATTTGCCCGAGAGACGAAGTGCTCTTCACGGTGTGGGCTTGGCTGCTTGCGTGGCCTCGATCCAGCTCTTCATGTCTCGCGTGGTACTGATCTGATAGGTGGTTTGCAGCCGGTGCAGATGGCGAGGTGTCTTGTCCGCTTGACTCGAGACGCACGAGGCAGGTGCTTCTCCCCAATTCAAGCAAATGGGGACTGACGGAATCGACAAATAGCTTGCGATCCTAACCTGAACAAGTGGGTTGGGCGTTGGACTAGAAGGCAGGTCTAGGGCATGCGGCGTTGATCAGTCGCAGGCCGGGAGATGTCTCATTGGCGTTTGACCCGAGGGGATCCATGCCCAAGTTTGAGGTAAGCCTGAGCCCCCCCCCCCCCCAAGTGCCCCCACAGCCTAAAAATCCCGACCACCGTTTGGGCAATCTAGGTAGCAATTGGCTCCGATGGGCGCTGGCTGGTCCCTGAATTTTGGGCGCCACCAACGAGCCCAAACGCAACTAAACCGGATTCTGGCTTCCCAAACTGCTTTTTCAAGTCACGGCTCGACACGTCGCGCTCCCCAGCAGTGAGGCTTCGACCCGTTCCTCCTATCCTCGACGTTATCACATCTCTTCACCTTTTTTGTTTCGCTTCTTGTTTTCGCCCACAGAATAAGAAAAAGGCTGTCAGTCATCCCCAGGGCACCAGCGGGATACTGCAGCCTGTTCCGGGCTCTGACCATTCCTCGTTCACCCTTTTGCACCTGTACCCAATCTTTTCAATTCGTTGTTTTCCACCCAAACACCACTTTTTCAGCCCGCCAGGTCGCTGGACAACGCAGCAACGACAACAACTCATCTTCTCCCCTTTTTTCCCGGCTTCTTCACACTCGCTCGCCCTGTTGGATTCCAAATTATCGAACCGCCCAAGTGCCTCGACTTTTCGGCTCACCGATTCGTCCAATGCCGGTAAACCCCTGAAATTACGCATCTTCAGTCCTGCATATGCAACTTGCCTGACTGCGAAGCATTGCCACTTACCTGGTCAACTTGTCGTCACCTTTTTGTCCATCGCCCGCCCTACGGTCTTTCCTTCTTACTCACTTGCATTCTGCGCTTTTGTCACTTAAACAAACACCCTAACCACCGCCTGGGCGATCAGTCAACTATTGTTGAACAGATGAAAAGAACCCACGACCCGACTTTCTACCATCTTTGACACTCTGGCACCATGCCATTTTTCTCCAAGGTCTTCAAGAGCAAGGATGGCCAGGTCAAAAAGGCCACAGCGCCTGTCGCAAACGGAGACTCCCACAAGAAGCCTCAATGGTCAGACGCATGGGCGCGGACGAGGGTCGATCCCGACGAGGTGTCTGAGCTCCTGCATCTGTGCACGGCCGAGTTGAAGTCGAGAGGTTAGTTCCGATAATTCCTACGACTTTGCCGATGCTGATTCTACTCTAGCACTCGACATCCCTTTCTTACTACTACCATTTCGTCCTTCGTCCGACCCTTCTGCTGCGAGAACTTTTGTTCGCAATTTCTTTCTGCCGCCTCACGATCGAGAACCTTTACGGGGTTCCTTTTTGGAAACGGAGCTTCGCATGACGGAGGTTATGGTAGGGCACAAGGAGAACACAAATACATACAGCCCGCTGACCAGTGTGTAGGTCCTGATAAGTGTTATGAAATGGTGCTGGGCCCGCTTGCCTGGGGGCATTGTAACATGGGAGGTCTACGAGGCGTTCAGAGTCGGAGAAAAAGGTCAGATATATTCCCAATGCGCCGTGTCACCAAAGACTGACAAATCCAGACTCTAGCTTTGCGCGCGACGCGTTCAGCACATTCATTCCAATTGGCGTTGAGGCGCCCGCTCGCCTTCAAATCATTCAAGACTTTTTCGACCTCCTTGCTTCACTTGCAGCACATGGCAAAGCTAATGGGCTGGGCGGCCACAAAGTTTCAAGATATGCTGGGTGGTGGGCATTTGAACATTACGATGCAGGAAAAGGGTTTGAGTCTGGATATCAATCCTGGTCAAAGTACGAAGTTCTCCATTCCTGCACCACCGTGTTACTAATTTGGACAGTGCTGCCAACGCAACAGCTCATCTCTTCTTCGCCTATCTGCGGTCCATGTCGCCTGGCGCGGGCAAAGCAAGCGGAATCCTGAGCCTTCCGAGGTCGCTGCAACAACTTCTTGACTCGACCACCTACCCTCCAAAGCACGCTCTATTATCGAATGATACCACAAAGGTCGTCATGATTGTTGACGTAGTGTCGCCAACCCCATACGCTTTATTGCGACGGGCCAAGAACTTCGAATATCGAGACGATGATCGAGGACTACAACAGTTTGCCAGTTATGACGACCCGGTACAGGCTCTTACCGATGAATGTCGGCGCGTCCTCAAGGCAATCTCTTCTGCCAACCAATCCCAAGTCTCCAATGCGAAAACTTCCACAAGCTTGACAGACCCGTCCTGGTCACGATTTGAAGACATCGGGTTTGGCAGCTCCCTCGAGGATGATGAAGAAGACGATGAGGGGCTGCTTGGTCGCAGAGTTGTCTCGACGCGACCTATGCATGCCTCAGCTCGGGGAGGGGGATATCAGGATCTCGCTCGACCAACAACTCCCTCGTGGGCTGATTTCCTTTCCTCTGGATTTGCTGACGAGCACGGCAACAAAGCCCCCGCACCTATTCTACTTCCCCCTGACAAGATTCTCCCTCCTATTCATACAACTGCGCCTAGAGGACAAAGTTCGCAGTCACACCGGAGAAATCTCGACACCCAGCTGAACCTAGATCCAGGTGAGTTGGCTAGCATTACCAAGGTCAATGTCGATGATTCCTTTTGGTGGGTCTGGATCAGTAGTCTTGCTTCAGAGGAGCCAACCTCGCGAAAAGCTGTGTTCGGTCGATGCGCCCTGATCGAGACTATTTTCCCAGATGACAGATGGATGGTGATGGAGGAGCAGGTCAAAGGCGCTGCACCAGAGCCTGCGGCCGGAGCGTATATCGCGGAGAAGAAGAAGACGTTCCTGGGATTCACAACCAAACGCGGTCGGATAACCCGAAGGGGTTCAGGTTCGAAGAAGAGCCCTCTCTCGCCCGATGTCCAACTCTCGGGCAATAGAACCACGCTCGCCCCAGATCAACAGGCTAAGATCCAAAAAGCTGCGGCCGAGCTATCTAGGAGAAAAGAGGCCGAGCAAAAGGAGGAGCAAGCGGCTCTGGCGACTCGTCGCGGACGTATGCAAGAACCCATTCTAGCGTCCAAGACCAACAGCATCTTTACACTGGGTCCGTTGATCAAGGACGAGGCCTCGCCAGCATTACAATGGGCAAGTCAATATGACAAGAAGGCGATCCGGGCTAAGTATCTGGGCGACTCACTTGCCGGGAAAGGCTCTCGTGAGCTGTTGAACGTGCCTCAAAATGGCCTCGGCATCACCAGGTCAACTTCGACGCTGTCTGTGGTCAGCAAGAACAAAGACCTCCCGCCATCACCGGCCGAAAGGCCGACACGTCCGGCTGTTATTGAAAGATCCCAGTCTACTGAGCCTCCCATAGCACCGCCGGTTGTCATTGAGGCTGCTCCAATCCCTGTCGAACCGACCGATCCAGTCCAAACTCAAGCGACAACAGAGGCAGCAGAAGTGCCTCTGCCTCCAACCACGCCGGAGATTGTGGAGATCCAGCCCGTCAAGCCTCAACCCACCAAATTGAGGAAATCTCTCGACCAGCAGCCTCGTTCTCCCGAGCAGAAAAAGCCGAGAGGAAAGACTCCGACGGGCCCCCCTCCTGTGCAGAAAACTAGTGGTATTCGGCGTCTGTTTGGGACTAAGCGCTCCAAGTCACGGGAGTCCAGAGTCCCAGAACCCCCTGAATCACCAGTCAACGTGGACGAAGATCCGGCTGTTGCTGCAGCTAGACGTGCCCTGGAGGGCAAACCTGCGCTTCCCGCCGAAGGCTCCGCTTCGCCTCCTCTCAGTCCTGGCCACTTCCATCGCCTCGCAACCGTTAAGGCTTCCCAACCTCAACCACCGAGTGTGAACGAAGCGCCAAAGACGCCGCAAATGACCGCTGCGTCTATACAAAGAGAAGTGACCCCGGAACCGTCTACGGAACACAATGGGTACGGCGAAGTCGTTGCGCCACCCCGGACACGCCGCGATGAAGAATATGATCAGCTCTCTCGGGTAGACACAAACGAGCGTGAACATGCTGATCGTGAATTCTCGACCTTCGATCAAGGTCCTCTGGTTGATCAGCCAGCTTTCGTGCCTGTGGACACGCCACCGAGAGAAGAGTTTTTGACACCCATCGAGGAGCCTCCCCATGCGCCTGTCAGCCTTCATTCCGGACGGTCGTTCCAGCAAACGGAGAGCTCGGTGGAGGAGGACGATGGACCAGCCCTCACGCAACAGGTCAGTCCTGGAGACCGCTGGGCCCAGATTCGACGGAATGCGGCCGAGCGAGCAGCGAGACAATCAGAGGAGCAGACTTCACGGAGTCGTACGGAGACACGAACCGACGATGGAGAAACCAGTGGGGAAGAGAGTAAGTCTTGAAGCAGAGTCTGCAAGGAACCGTACTAACCATGCTGTAGCGATTGAATCACGGGTTGCACGAATCAAGGCCCGAGTGGCTGAATTGACTGGAAACATGGATGGCGCCCGACGATAACTCCAGCCACCAAATGAGAATGACCAGCAACAAGCATACCACATATACAACTCCGGCGGCACATAGTGCAGTCATATCCGATGCCAGTTCCCTTTTGCTCCCATTCGCGATCGAGTTTTGCACAGAAAAGACAGCAAGGCGTTATGTGTGTATTGGATTTTGGGGGTTGCAGCTTATGTGTGTCCAAGATACCACCTCCGCGTTACTCGGCGCCGATGATTATCTTTCTCTCCTTTCCTTTCTCGTTTGTGTGAGCGTTTGGCAACATGATCCGCCTGAGCTGCGGGACAGCACATTAATAATACACCTTTCACATTCTTTCTTTTGTTCTCCCCTGTCAACTGCGTTGGTTGTGGGTACACGAGGTGGGAAAATTAATAAGCCGTTTGATATTGGTTTGCGCTTGAGGGCATAGACACGTGGCGACAGACTTTGTTGGGTGCTCTTCGTTGAGCTATTTGGGGATATTGAAGACTGCCGGGGGCATGGGGTGAGAAGGGAGTTGCCCGAGTGCGGGCACTGCAGATGGATGTCAAGGTGGAAGCAATAGAAGACATGGCGCCCTTGATTCATTGAGAACATGGGATGGAAGGAGATACTATTTCGACTTGCCAATCCCTAGATACATGCATCGGAGGGCGGCATGGACAATGACCGACCAAATTCAAACAGCTCTGGGATCCCAAATTATGTTTTCTCTTTCTGTCATTGCATTCATTGGCGTATTCAAGAACAAACGCTTTGTACAGGTTCGGTTGGTTCTGACTATTTCTGACTGAAGGATTTGAGGCGAAGCTTCTCTCGACGGAAGCTTGAGAAGCCGACATGTTGGGGCCCCGGGGCCAAAGATATACTCTTCTCTCTACATGTAAGCAAGGCTGTCAATATGCGGCAACAGACTCCGGGAGAAAAGTCTGAAGTCAAGCAAGTCAGCTCGGGCAAGCCGACCCATATCGGTCAGGTGAGAAAAGAGGCGAATATGCACGATTGCGCGAGGCATCCCAGTCAAGACGGTATACACAACGGGAAAAGGATTTTATTCGTACGGATTGAGCCCCTAGCACCCGCGGCTCCTTATAGATGGATCATTTGTCGCCGCCCTGATCCTCCAAGGCGAAGAGGGCACGGAGGATATTGAAGGATGAAGTCCGCCAGTTGATGGGTTTGCATGCGCTTCGAGTAATTGTGCCTGATCTAGGAACAAAGGGCGAGGCTCTGCGTTGACGGGCTGTGTGTCTGGCTGTCCGTTTATGTACATAGAGTATGCCCATATCGTCCACACCGATTACTGTATCTGGCATGCTGGCATCCTCAGGCGAGTACGAGTTCATGCAACCATATGCCAATGCTCAACGTGGGGAACCGTATATTGGGATTCGGTAGACGGCAGGCCGGACCAGGCAGGCAAGGATTTACCATCCCCGGTCGAGCTCGCGGTGTGTACGCAGGATGCAGAAGATGGACGCAGCACCTAGTAGTGCTCGCGTGGTCTTCTAAAAATAGCAGAGTTAGCACATCTAGCGAGCCAATCGCCGACAGCATCGCGGCAGGACGAGTAAGAGCCGCATGGGAAAAGGAGCCCGAAAAGACCTGAAACACTAGGGCCGATGTGCTCGAGGGCGCGCTGAGTGGTTGGGCTGGTGGGCTTACCACATCTTGCTGCAAGAGGCGATCGCTCCAGCCATTGTGCGGGCGCTTATTGCTGATTTCCACTCATCTCTCGCGCTTCCAATCATGAGACGTCGATGTCATCGGGAACCGGCGCAGTCGAGATGAAGATCCCGTCGAAGGTGACATGGGCTCCGGGCGAGATGGAGCAGATGGGGTAGAGGAATTGAGAGCGAGTATTGTTGGAGACTGGACGCACGCTGCAGTTGGGGAAAGGAACAGAGATTGCTCGTGAAGTCAGAGATGAATTGGAAAGGGAATGAGACGTGATTCTTAGGGACGAGGATGGAGGAGATATGGAGGGTCACCAGGCGTTGGGTGTCTGGCGCCCACCAACGCAAGTTTCCCGGGGGCATGTTTACCTGGCTAGCTGGCTCCGGCGACCCTCAGCCTCCATACAAGCCCGCCCTAACACAACCCCCAAAGGAATCAAGCGGAGTAACGAGGCAGCAAGGCGGCGAGGCTCTTCGCCGCTTGAGTTTCGGGGATTTGCAGGGAGGCCACTAGGCCTACTCGTGGTGACCCTGCCCAATCCCGGATTTCTTTACCTAGGGCCTGCCTAGCTAGGCAGGTTGGTAACTTCTCGACGGGGGCCTCCAGCTAGGAAAACTGCCGCCGAGAGCCGCCAGTGGTGGGAGGGAGGGGGACACCCACACCCCCAACCCTCGAGGGCTTGTCGGCAACCTGCAACCTGCAACCTGCAACGGGCTTTCGGCTGCAGCTGCACCTTGCACCTTGCGTCTGCAGCCTGCACTTCCCTTTCCCAACTTCTCCCTCGCCTGATTTTTTTCGACCCTTTCTTTCTTCCATTCTATCTTTAGCATCCTATATCCACCTTGCACGTTCACGCTTCAATTACACGCTTAACAGACGCCATCGAGCCAATCCACGATGCAATCGGTGTGAGCCTCAATTAGCAAGCCACAGCACCAGTCTCGAGTTACAATTACTGTCGTCGTTACTTGTTCCAACCCGCCAGTGCGCCCTTTGTTCTCTGTTCTGCCTTCATTGTTGCAACCGGGACACACAGGTGCCTCCAGGTCCCCCTTCCACATCCACTTGACCGCACCCGCGCTCTCTTGGGTTGCATACCTGGCCCGACAGGCAACAAAGACAACTTGAGTGTTTCTTTGTTGAACACACAATTCCCTCATCCGAGCTTCGGTTTCGTCCCTGCCCAGTCTCTCTTCTCCACACCGCGACCGTGGTGCAGCCAGTTGTTGACACACTCGCCCTCATCGGATCAGAAAGCGCACTTGGGACTTTGGCATATGCAAGATACGAGAAACACATAAACAGCCATGGGTCGGAGGAAGATTGAGATCAGAGCGATCAAGGACGACCGTAATCGTTCAGTGTGAGTTGTGGTGATTGTGATGGCTGATGGTACTCGGTCCGCTGATTCTCCGGGGACAGGACATTTCTCAAGCGCAAAGGCGGTCTCTTCAAGAAAGCCTACGAACTCTCCGTCCTATGTTCGGTTGACGTCGCCGTCATTATCTTTGGCCACAACAAGAAGCTCTACGAGTTTTCGTCGGGCGACATCAATGAAACACTGCGGAGATATCAATATGTGGGTCGAGAGTCCTGACCCAGATTTCTTGCGAGCATCACCTCTTTTTGCTGACATGTTGCCCTTAGTATGGAGCACCTCACGAACACAAAGGCCCTACCGATTTCAAGAACAAGGGCGGGGAGGATGACGACGATGAAGATGAGGATGAAGATCATCCTGCCCACGCCCGAGAAGAGTCGCTGCCGCCGCAGCATCTTCCTCCCCAGTTACAACACCACGGCTCTTTTGCGCACATTCAACAGCCTATGGCTTCTGTCTCGCCTCCAATGCCTAATGGCATGTTTCAGCCACGGCACGGCACGCCGCAACCTCCTCATATGATATCGAGGCCGCCCTCACAGAACATGATCCGCCGGACGAGTTCCAACCTGGTTCCCATGCAACATCCTCATCCCACTCCTCCCCCCCCACAGAATGGATTTGCGTATGTACCGAATCCACCCATTTACAACCCTCAAGCGACGCCGCCTGTCCCTCCTCAGCCTTCACCTCAGCCTCAATTTCGGACGTTTCCTCCTCCTCCTCCTCAGCAGCAGCAGCAGCAGCAACCACAACCGCCGCCACAACATTCACAGTCCCACCAGCAGATGCAACAAGCGCACCAGCAATACCTGCAGGAACAAAGACGACATTCACAGCCGCCTCCGGCTTCTCAACCCAGTCTCCAACCTCCACCCCAAGCAGAAGCTCGCGTCTCACCTCAACCGGAGCAGTTGCATCTTCGACCACCAGAGCAAGCCACCCCACCTCAACCAAAGCATTTGTCATCGAAATCAAGAAGTATATTTACTCCGATAGATGAAGGAGGCTCGGTCTTGATGCAACATTTCTTCGGCACGACTTCGGATTCCAAACCTCAAGTGAAGAAGGAAGAGGAATCGCCAGATGTCAAACCTCTGCCCCGCAGCACAACAGCCTCCACCATCCCCAGGCCCAGTTCACAAGGAGCTCGGCCGCAAACCACTGTTCCGGAATTTGCTCCACCTACTCGAACGAATACGTCGGGGTCGAAATCCGGTGCTCGACCCAAACTGAACCTTCAGATACCCTCTGAAGCGGAGGACAACGATTCAGCGACCGGAGGATCACCTTCACAGTCAGCGAATCCATCAGCGAACCCAGCCAGAGGCTCCGACCACATTGTCTTACCGCCGCCTTCGCCGAGCGCTTCGGCCGTAATGTCGGCTGGAGCGTCTGGGCCAGGAAATCCGTTTGCTCGGCCCGCACCGCCTACTTCGAATGCGAATCGCGATGCATACAATGACAATCGAAACAATATCGAGACTCCAGTGTCCGCCTTACCGAGTCGCTACATGAACAACGATCTCCTACCGAGCCCGAGCAATTTCTTTACAGAGTGGGACCGAATGTCTGGTGTTTTGCCAAGCCCACTCGTGTTTCCGACACCTGCAGATGCGAGAGGATTAGGATTCGGAAGTAGAGATGCAGCCCGAGAAGCTGCTAGCGAACAAGCGAATGGCGAAAAGAGGAAAGGGAGCGTGGATCTGGCGGAGAAAGAGGGGGATGCAAAGAAGGTCAAGACCGGTGCGAGTTGATGTCGAGTGACGTGCAAAAGGCGGAGGAATTCTACGACGGGTGAAATGCCTTTGGATCGACCGACTTTACCTTTGAGGGGACTACTCAAATATCTACAAATATCACCCAATACCCAAATCACTAAAAAAAAAGAACACCAACTTCACGACTTTTCACGGCCGCGCATTTTCCAGGAATCCCATCCGTTCAGTGTTTTGCCAGTTATGTTCAACGTTGGCTGCTTGAGGTCTTTGATAGCGATGTCAGAATCTATGGTTATTTGTATTTGGCATAGCGGGAGGGGGTTGGAGTTTTCAGAGGAGTGCTCTCACACGACAACGAACTTGGGTGTGACCGGTTGGGTTCAAGTTGTATGTCTGATTCAGTCGAGGTGTTTATGGACATGGCTACCCAGTACGATGCGGGCACAAGGTGACATCCAATGTGTTGGAAACTTGTTTGAGATTCCAGGAGGAAAGGGAGGTGCATCCTCCAACATTCAATACGTTGTAGGGATGTGGATAGGATTTATGTTGTTACAAGAAGGCAAAAGGAGACCATAGCCGTGGATGGAATGCTCCTGGTTGACGAGAGTGGAAGACAAAATCAAATGTCTGTTTTTCTGGAGTTTCTTCCCCTTGCCATCTTCGTGTTGATGATGGTGTTGACATTGATGTTGACGTTGATATCAAGACGTTGTTGCTCTCGGAGACTCGGCGTCCGGCATCCGGAACCGGGACTGGAACCGGAAAGTGGAACGGCGCCCGCGGACGACGTCGAAGGGAATCTTGACGTCTTCGATATCGCGTTCGCGTATTGTCGTCCTATCACAGTCCCCTCTCAATCCCGCCGGACATTGCCCAAGATGCTGGGCCATGCTTGGCTGCTTGACGGTTTGCATATCTGGCCGTGTTTTGGCAAAGTCGCATCCTTGAGCCCAGCATTCAAGTCCAGGCAGCACTCTGGGCAATGCCGTTTCCTTGCTACCTAATCCCTCTGTGAGTCTGCATATGAGATATATACACGATCGTTTCACACACACACACATACAAAACTGTAAAATAGTCCATGGGGTGCCGCAAGTTGAACAAACCCCTTTCCAACGGCCACGATTCCTTGAAGGTTTCGGGCAGACCAGATGTCGAGCGAACCAGAGAAATCACTTTCAAGCCCCAATGGCTCCGAACCAGCTACCCATCAAGCTGAGAAGCAGCCTGAAGGCGGCATCAAAGACTATTTTCGCATCTTCCAGTACGCCGACGGCTATGACTGGACCCTGAATGCCATCGCCTGTTCTTCCGCCATTGCCTCCGGGGCAGCGCTTCCCTTGATGTCCCTGGTCTTCGGGACCTTCACAACCAAGTTTAACAATTTCGCCAGTGGCAGGTCGACGCCACAACAGTTCAGAGACGACGTCGACCATTTCGTGCTTTGGTTCATCTACCTCTTCATTGGCCGCTTCGCCGCGACCTATGTGGCAACCGGGACCATCAGCATCTCCGCAATACGAACAACCCGTTCTTTCCGGAAGGCGTTTCTTGAAGCGACTCTGCGGCAGGAAATCTGGCATTTCGACAGACAGACCAACGGAGCCACGGCCACTCAGGTCACCACCAACGGGAACCGAATCCAGTCGGGCATTGCTGAGAAGCTCGTCTTCGTCATGCAGGGACTTTCCATGTTTTTGGCCTCCTTCGTCGTGGCTTTGGCTGCGCAGTGGAAATTGGCGTTGATCACCATGTCCGTCATCCCTGCAATTTTCATCGTCACGGGTGTCTGCATAGCTATCGACGCGGTGCAGGAGGCCAGGGTCCTCCGCATCTACTCTCGGGCTGCTGTCCTGGCCGAGGAGGTGTTGTCGTCCATCCGAACAGTCCACGCCTTTTACGCACAGAAGAAAATGGTCCAGAGATACGACACATTCCTGCAAGAGGCCCACAAAGAAGGAAACAAGAAGTCTCCCAACTACGGCGTCCTTTTCTCCACTCAGTATTTCTGTGTCTACTCGGCGATCGCCCTCTCATTCTGGCAAGGATTCCGAATGTTCCAGAGCGGCGAAATTGAAAGTGTTGGCAAGGTCTTTACGGTGGTGCTGTCGGTAACCATTGCTGCAACGGCAATCTCAAGCATTGCGCCACAAATCCAAGCTGTCACAAACGCATCGTCCGCTGCCTCGGAGCTGTTCAGCGTCATAGATAAGCCATCCCTGCTGGACCCTCTCAACCCTGCCGGCGCACAGCCATCCTCATGTGGAGGCCAGATCGAGATTACAGGCTTGGAATTTGCCTACCCATCTCGCCCGGGGGCTCAGGTCCTGCGTGGATTGACCGTTAGCATTCCTGCCGGTAAGACCACGGCTCTGGTCGGAGCGTCGGGATGCGGGAAAAGCACACTTGTCGGGCTTCTGGAACGGTGGTATCTGCCCACGGCTGGTCATATCACTCTCGACGGATTAGAACTGGATGAATACAACGTCAGATGGCTGAGAAGTCAAATTCGCCTTGTGCAACAAGAGCCAGTCTTATTCCGAGGAACGGTGTTTGAGAATGTCGCCAAAGGCTTTCTCGACGAGCAACGAGCCTTCCCCCACGAGAAACAGATGGAATTGGTCCGAGAAGCCTGCAAGGCCAGTAATGCTGATGAGTTCATCAATGAGCTCCCTCAAGGCTACGAAACCCAAGTGGGTGAGCGGGCTGGGACGCTCAGTGGCGGTCAGCGACAGCGAATCGCCATTGCGCGCAGCATTGTCTCAGACCCAAAGATCCTTCTTCTCGACGAAGCCACAAGCGCTCTTGACCCTCGAGCGGAACGACTGGTGCAGGATGCCCTGAATCGGGTGTCGGAAAACCGGACAACGCTGGTCATTGCACACAAACTGGCGACTGTGAAGACCGCCGACAACATTGCGGTCATGTCCTATGGACGGATAGTCGAGCAAGGCACCCACCAGCAATTGATCCATCTGGACGGACATTACGCAGGACTGGTGCGGGCTCAAGATCTCGGGTCCGCCGAACAGGACGAGTCTAGCAAGCTCCTGAGTGAGAAGCAGGCCCTCGAAGTGACAGATGAACGACTAGGGATTCAACGCACCATCACCACTGCGACGTCCGAGGGAGGTGACGCAGAAAGACGGAAACCCCCTGTCGGCACTCTCGACTACTCGCTCCTGCGATGCATTTTCATCATGTTCTACGAACAGAAGTCGTTGTACTGGTGCTTCTTCGTGTCGACTGTCGCCAGCCTCATTGGTGGCGGCACGTACCCAGCCCAGGCTGTTCTGTTCTCCAGGCTCCTGACTATCTTTCAGTTGACAGGTAAGCAAGCGCGCGACCGCGCAGATTTCTATTCATTAATGTTCTTCGTCGTCGCGCTCGGCAACCTGGTGGCCTATTTTACAATCGGGTGGATATGTAACATCATCGGACAGACGGTCACTCATCGCTATCGCTCGGAGATGTTCGAACGTGTCCTCGACCAGGACATTGAGTTCTTCGACCTTCCGGATAATACGTCGGGCGCCCTGACCTCGAAACTCTCGACGCTTCCAAACCAACTACAAGAGCTGGTGGCATTCAACATCCTGCTCATCTTCATAGTGGTGGTCAACGTGGTGTCTAGCAGCATTCTCGCCTTGGCCTATGGTTGGAAGCTCGGCCTCGTTGTGGTCTTTGGGGCGCTTCCGCCACTCCTGCTGTCGGGTTATCTTCGCATCCGGCTGGAAACGAAGCTCGAGTCCCAGGTTTCGGACAAGTTTGCAGAGAGCGCCGGGCTGGCCAACGAGGCCGTCTCGTCGATCAGAACCGTGGCTTCTTTGACGCTCGAGGCGCACGTGCTGGAGGAATACTCCCAAATGCTCAGCAATATCGTCCTGAAGTCGACCCGGTCCTTGGTGTGGACCATGTTCTGGTTCTCGCTGTCCCAGTCCATCGTGTTTCTGGCCATGGCGCTCGGCTTCTGGTACGGGAGCCGCCTGTTGTCGACGGGAGAGTACTCCACGGGACAGTTCTATACCATCTTTGTCGGCGTGCTCTTCGCGGGGCAAGCGGCGGGCGAATTCTTCGGGTATACGACTTCCATCACCAAGGCACGAAGCGCCGCCAACTACATCCTTTGGCTGAGGACCTTGCAGCCGACCATCAGGGAGACGGACACGAACAAATCCAACGGGCCCGAGGGAGACGGCCCCGTTGATCTTGAGGAGATTGAGTTTCGCTACCGTCAAAGGGAGACGTCGCGCGTCATTCGCGGCATCTCGATGAGCATCCAGCCGGGCCAATTCGCCGCGTTCGTGGGAGCATCCGGCTGCGGCAAGTCCACGCTGGTCGCGCTGCTCGAGCGGTTCTACGATCCGACCTCGGGGCGCATCTGTTTCGCCCACAAGGACGTCGCGGCCATGTCACCCCGCCTCTACCGCGGCCACATGTCGCTGGTGCAGCAAGAACCCACGTTGTACCAGGGCTCGGTGCGCGAGAACGTCTCTCTGGGCCTCGCCTTCGAGCCCTCGGAGGAGCAGATCCGCGAAGCGTGTCGCCAAGCCAACGCGCTGGACTTTGTGATTTCTCTGCCCGAAGGGTTCGACACGCCGTGCGGGTCGCGCGGCACGCAGCTGTCGGGCGGCCAGAGGCAGCGCGTCGCCATCGCGAGGGCCCTGATCCGCAACCCGCAGCTGCTCCTGCTGGACGAGGCCACCAGCGCGCTGGACACCCTGTCGGAACGGCTGGTGCAGGCGGCGCTGGACGAGGCGGCCGTGGCCCGGACGACGGTCGCCGTGGCGCACCGCCTGTCGACCATCCGCGCGGCCGACGTCATCTTCGTGATTGCCAACGGCCGCATCGCCGAGACAGGGACGCACGCCGAGCTGCAGCAGCTGAAGGGCCGCTACTATGAGATGTGTCTGGCGCAGTCATTAGACAGGGCGTAAAGTAAAGAGGGTGGGTGGCTGGTGTGTGCATGCAGCGGTAGGGACAATGGGCTCCTCTCTCTCCTCTTCATGTACTTGTACTTGTAAGTAGACACAATAAAAGTCCGTGCTGTTTGTTGTAGATCGTGCGTGTCCTTTTGAATCAGGTCAGGCGGGCTCGTTTCGTGATGCGTCGTTCGTCGATACCGTGGACTCTCGCCCGTCTGGTCTGTTGTGTGGGTATGGCGGTGCCAGCGTGGTTCGGGGCAACAGTCTGCCCGCCTCGCCCATCGTCAAGGCAGTCCACCTCCTTCAACCGGTTAGGGTCCCGCATACCCCGTACATATGACCTTGCGTCTGAACCGATCCAGCACTTGTCCACAAGGAAGTACCGGTAATGCAAGAGAAACCCACCTGCGGTCCTTCCTAGCGACGAACCATTCGGTAGTCTACAAAAGTGTCTTGCGGCTTTGGGCGGTCCGGGCCAGTCCAAGCAGGGTTGCTGTAGAAGACGGGTTGCCCGAGGCGGTGGGCGCTAATATAATAACTTCCTTTCTATCCATTGCCTAGGCATATCTACTTTACAGCTCAACGCGGGTTGCAGGGAAATTTCCCGCCGAATCTGGCGCGTCAGTGCCGCCGCTTTTGGAGGGTCTCTTCCCTCGATGCCGAGATTCACCCTCCGGTCCTTTTCCACATCGTCACCCGCCCAATCTCGAAACTCGCAATAAGAGCCAGTAATCATCCCAAGTTTAGCAAATGTCCTGGTTGCTCCCAAATCGCATCGACTGAACAGGGCGGCAACCGAAACCGTTCTCATGTTCTTTGACCTGACCCCAAAGGTGTGTACTTTTGAGCCGTAGGCGCCCACTTCTCCATCCGGCGGCAAGTCACGATCTTAGCCAGTCTCAAAGCTTTTATGGCCAGTATGATCATCTATGTCCGAGCCTCCAAAGTGGAGGGGGAAATCCCTCTAAAAAATGCTTTAAGAAGGCCCTTCCATCCTCGGTCCCGGTCACCCCAGCCAGCCTGAGTACCCTGTATACCTCCGTAGGTAAGCCATCATGCAAGCATTCCTTGCAAATTCTTTCCTGCTGGCAGCAGTTACTCTCAGTCGATGCGTCACGGCACAGGTGGTGGGATGCGAGGCTGTGGACTGCCCAGCCGATGGTTGCGTCGTCGGAAACACAACAAACCTCGAACTAGGAATCGCGAATTTCACCAGCGGCAGCCTCAGCCCGGACCAACCCCTATCTTGGACCGTCGGCATCGCTGACATCCCCCATCACAATGCAGTTAACGACACATGGTTGAGAAGCTATTACCTCGGCACTCCACCCTCTCTCGACCTCGATCAATCTGGCATCAGCGGCTGTGCACTTTTCTTTGAGGATTCGGGGACCTTCCAGTTCAACATCAGCGCCCAAGAAACAAGCATCGGGACGTGTCAAGACGCCTTGACCACAAAATGTGTCGACGACCTTGTCGCACGAGTGGCCAACATCACGGCTACCTTGTCTTCTGATGCTGCAACAAATGCGAACCAATCGACTCTCTGCTCGCAGTTGGGCCCTGCCTTGAAAGCCGACTTGCCGGCCAGTTGCATGGGGCCGGTGGGACTTGAATTGGTCCCTATTGTTGCGAAAGGTGAGTTCGATCTTTTGCAGGCTCACATCATTTCTGCCCTTTGCTGCACGCTTTGACTGAGACCAGTGGACTGACTGGCTACGAACAGACCTGACTGGTTCCAGCTCTGCGCTGCAACCCGTTCAACAGACCAATTGCACTCTGACCACCGGGGGCTCGGGATACAACGTTGGACTCGTCACAACCGAGTCCTACCACCAGCAGGACTTTGCCGAAGTCTATACTTCGGGCTTCATCTTCGGCGTCACTCCAATCCTGACCCTTTTCTATCCAACTCCCAGTCAACCTGGAAACAGTTCCACGGCTTTACAAGAGCCAGAAGTCCACCTCACCTGTGTGAAAATTGTCGAAGCTGGTGCTTCCGATGCGCATGGGCCGACCTTGCTAAATGCGGCGGCGTCACGGTCGATCCGTGACTTGTACAGCTTCTTACCTGTAACGGCTTTTTTGGCTCTTATCTTTGTTGCCCTTTGATGAATCTACGAGATGATATACTATGTTTTTCTGAGTTTTGGAAAAGGAACGTCGGGATGATCTGTTAACACTAGCATAAGAATGACTTCTGGGACTGCATGTGACGACGCCGAGTGCGATAGAGGGTCTGTATAATAAAATGGCAGGGGCTCATGGTGGTGTGTGGCTTGAATTCAGGGCCTTCGGGGTTATTTCTAGGCCGGAGAATACTAGTAACTTCATGACTTGACAACAACCCACATGCTACTGTTCGAGATCATTCGATTCCCAGCAGTTCTTCCCGGTTATCATGCACTTCGACAAGGCTTCCCAACAACATCTTGTACATATTACCAGTCGATAGCATTGTGTCAGAGTCTCTTGAGTCGTTCATATCCTTCCTGGTCGCGGCCAAAGTGGGACGAATTCAGTGCTGAGAGGCCGTTTCAAAAGGTCAAGGGCCACGGACCTCGAAAAGCGAGCTCACGAGCTTGTCCAGAAAAATCCCATCAGTCAAGAGAATCAACGTAAACCCCCTCCCCTCCCCCGCTATGGCGGGAGCCAGCCTTGTTGGCAAGACTAGGCTTAGGTCACGTGGCGAACCTAAAACACCGGTCGGTGTTGCGGTTGCAACAGTTGCAACATTGCTGATTTCCTGGCACAACTTTACATCAAGGATAGAAATATAGTATATTATCCAGAGAGACAGTGTATTTTCGTTTACCCACACACATAAGCTAGCATGTAAGTCGACCTTCGCTGTTTAGCCAATCACTCGTGCAAAAGCCGTCTCGACGGTTGATTTCGTCGCCATGTCTTGGGTTGTCGAGGTACGCGGACCCCATGTTCCGTTGCCAGTCGACATTTTGAACTGACCGGCTGAAACGGGCTGTTTAGTACATCCTGTCCTTCCACAACTGGTGGAACAAGGTCAACGCGGTCAAGAGGGATGTGCTCGGCGAGAAAGTCGCGGTGCTTCAGTCCGCGGCGGCATCAGCATCAGCAGCAGCAGCTTCTTCCTCTACCTCGTCACCGCAACAAAACCCGCCTCTGCTGCGCATGGGCGTCCTCTCCGCCGCGGCCATCAACTACACCGCCATCTGGGACCCGGTCTCGACGCACCCGGGCGTAGTGATCACGGGCGTCGCCGCGCGGGACAAGTCGCGCGCCGAGGCCCAGATAGCCAGCAACAAGCGCTTCCTCCCCGGCGGCGCGTGCACGGCCCACGGCTCCTACGCGGCGCTGCTCGCCGCCCCCGACGTCGACGCCGTCTACATCCCGCTGCCCAACGGGCTGCACCACCGCTGGGCGCTCGAGGCGCTCGCGCACGGCAAGCACGTGCTGGTCGAGAAGCCCGTCGCCTCCAACGCGCAGCAGGCGCGCGAGATCCGGGACGCGGCCGCACGGGCTGGCAAAGTCGTGCTCGAGGCGTTCCACTGGCGCTTCCATCCCAGCGCGCACGTGGTCAAGCAGCTCCTCCTGGGCGGCGAGTACGGGCGGGTGCTGGCCGTCGACGCCCGCGCCGTCATCCCCGGCGGCGTCCTCAAGAAGGACGACATCCGCTTCCAGTACGGCCTCGCTGGCGGCTGCTGCATGGACCTCACCTACGTGTTCAGCGCGATCGCCTACTTTGCCGCCCGCGACGTCGCGGACCCGAACCTCGAGGTTGAGGTCGTCGACGCCAAAGCGCGCTTAAGCACGAACGATAGGCTGGTCGACGAGGCCGTCACCGCCACGCTGCGGATCACAGACCCCAATCCCTACGCCAGTGCTAGCGCCAGCACCAGCACCGCGCCCGCGGAAATCAAAGCCACCCTGTCCGCGGACCTCGCGCAGCCCAAGCTGTTCGGGCTCATCCCCAAGGTCTGGGCCGCCGGCACGCCCACGGTGACGATCCAGTGCGAGCGTGCCGAGATCGTCTACGAGAACTTCATGGGCCCGTGGCTGTCGCACAGGATCGCCGTCGTGCCCGTCACGCGCGACCCGGCTACCAACGCGATCGTCAAGCGCGGCACCGCCACCGCCGGCGACGGGAAGAGCAAGCCCCACACGCTCAAGCAGTTCAAGGGCGGCCCGCTCTGGGACCGCGAGTTCTCTGCGTCTACGACCGGTGGTGCTGACGGGGGTCAGGAGTGGTGGACCACCTACCGCTGGCAGCTCGAGGCGTTTGTCAGGATGATTCGCGAGGGACCCGGCGAGGGCGAGGCCGGGTACAAGGGCCCCTGGGTCGGCATGGACGAGAGCATCCGTGTCATGGAGATGATTGATCGCACGTACGAGAAGTTGGGCTTGCCGCTTCGTGGGGCCGTGAGTGCTGCTGAGTGAGATATATGAATGAGAGAACTCGCGCCCGAGTCGAGTCGAGGTGTAGTTTGTGACAATGTTACAGTGATGTGTGGTTCCATGTCCCATTAGCATGGCATCTCCTTCGCCATCTCGCCGGCTTTGTCTCAGCTGGGTATCATGCAGTACAAGCTAGCTAGTCATTTGGTTGAAACAAAGAAAAAGTTGACGAGGCAATATGACTCTCGTCACGCGGTAATGTTCGTCTTTCAAGTCGTCGGGTTATATCCATATATCAAATATTGTTATTCAATGTACAGGACTTGAACAGCAAAAGCGGCTATCGCACAAGCATTGCGATCCTGGTAGGTGCGCGGGGTCGCGCGGTCATTCCAATCGTAACATTCGTTCACACCTGCTTTAGTCTCATTAGGGCCACGAAACGAGTGCCCTACCAAAGCAAAATCACTGGAATTTAAGAGAAAAGACAAGAAATTGGGCATGAGCACATATAACCACACAAGGCTAGGCGCGTCCTGGGTTGGTGCTGAGCTCCGGCTGTGGACCGGTTTCCATACTGTCAGGCTTGAAGGTCAAGAAGCACTCCTTCTCTTCCGCCTGCTAGGCCTCAACTATCGGCGACGGGAGTTTGATGGCGGTCCGAGCTACAGGGCAAGCGGCTGTTCGGGTGGACTGTCTGGGGGTGGAGTTGGTTCCTGGATATGGTGCCGATGCTGGGGGATTCCGACACGCGAATTCGCGCACCTGCCAGCGTCAAGGGCCTCGGTCTTGTATTGAGGCGGGGAGCCTGGATAGTCAGGGGTTTCATTCGAGGTTAAGGTCTTTGCAGCGTCTGAGATAGCGAGGGGTGACAGAGTCGCGTTGAGTGGATCTGCTTTCTCGGGTGGTGGTTGAGACTGGGAAGATGCGCCGTATGAGTGTCGGCGAACTGGACTGTCACCAGAGGCGACATGTGCTTCCCGTGTCTGTCGCGATTGCTTTCCCAGGAGGATGCTGCCTTCCGAAGGGCCTTTTCTCGCTCGACGTTGTGCAGTGTCCGAGTCCCGGTAGTCATATGGGTTTCTTCGATATTCTTCTGTGGCGGTGTGAGTAGAAACCGGGATCTTACTGGTGAGTCGCACGTACTACTCTGTCTTTCCAGATCCCAGTCTTTCGAATCATTGATGAGATCGCGGAGGTTGGCCTATCCGGGGCATTAGTATGGTGGCTCGCCCTCGGCAACGGCACGTACAGCATTTAGCGGTCCTTTCCCAGTCACACTGAAACCAGTGCGAGTCTTGTCCTACCCATATTGTTAGCAAACTGACGAGGCGGAATGCAGGCAACGTAGCTGACCGTGGGGTGGTGGGCGGACGTGATCTTTGCGGCGCGGTCGAGATATTGGGCGACATATTCTACTAGGACCGCAGTATCCAATTTTTCGCCCGGAACGAAGATATGGATTGGTGTCTGGAGCTCCTCATCGTTGTCGCTGTCGCGGTCGCGGTTGCGGTTGCGGACGCTAAAGTCATCCTCTGTCAGCGTCCAATATGGTCTTCGCCCTTCTCTTATGGAACCGGGATATGCTCCGCCTTGCTTCAGAATGGATGGATATTGTGGAACCCATACTTTTGGGTAGAGCCCTTCTTTCCGCTTGGGGGGAGGCAGTCATCATCATGTCTGCGCTGGTCTTCATTGTCTCTTCTAGCGCCGTCCCGCCCCCTCTGATCTTGCGCGCTAAGGACCATGAATGCTCAGGAAGTCCGCGACTCGCCGGATCTGACAGGACGGTATGTTGCTGACAAGCTTATGGTGCCGTATTGGCGGGCGGAGATAGGATGGCGCGGCGCCAGGACGAAACAATCTCTGGCTGTGGGAGGAATATCGTGACTCGCACAGCGGGGCCGGCGTCTGTGTATCGATCAATCGCGTCTTCAACCCCAGCGAAGCTCGACTCTGATGCGCTGCTTTGGTTGACTGCAGTGCAGCAGATGCGCAGTTTGGGCACACAACTTCATTGCATGAGTGACCTGCCACTAACTTGCAATGCGACCATATACTGAATCGACCGAGCCGGGCGTTGGGCCGATCCGTAGGCGCCGTAGGCCAATGATGGAAGCGAGTTCATTCAAGCCATCAGTCTCGGTCACATCGGTGCCACGCCCTATTTCTAAGATCTGGGCGGCCAAAGACGCCATGCCGCTTCAGGTATATCGCAAACACAAAGTCTCTCTTGGCATTGTCTGTAACCAGCGCTCTATCTACCTGAAGCTTGGAATCCACATAGGCGGGAATTTCTTGCTAGACTTCGCCGCTGATAGCCTTGTCTTGATCGTCGTACCATTTGCGACAAGGAACCTTTTCTCGGTCTCGCAAGTCCACTGCCGAGACAAGATGTATCGCTTCTTGTACCCAACGTTGGGCTTTAGTAACCCCGTCTCGGCTAATGGATCTGTGACGTGCAGTGCTGGCCCCAGCCGACCAAATCAACAGGTCTACAAGATCTGGGTCGATGTCGGAGAGTGTGGCCGCAAGTTCCAAAACGGAGCATACTTCGATTGACTGCACGATAGGGTGAGACCCCAGTTCTTGGAGGGATTCGACTGGTCGGCATTTCGAATAATCCCATGAATTGTGTGATTTTCCTGGATCAAGAACAGGGTAAGGTGTCGAGCAATCCTACCCTAGCCTCCGAAAATCAATGCAGTACCCATGGGAAACAGGACACTTAGTAGGCAAAAAGTCTGAGGATCAAGGACTGAGTATGAGTATTTTGTAGATATGGAATGTAGACTTTGTGCTAGAGAACTCAGAAATTGCAAGGAGACGAGGAAGAGGGACGCCAACGGATCTCACAAATGATCCAAAAGAATCCGATAGGGCAGAGGTTAAGAGTTCGACGATATAGATTATTCCAGAAAAAGGAAGGGCGGCAGCTTCAAAGATTCTGCTTCCAGTCCGACTGTGTAGATTTCAATCGCCATGCTTATACTTTCGTTCGAAATTGACATGAGGACGGCTTTCATACTATGTAGTCTATGTAGTGTCGTGCCTACAGAAGGCAGACATCAACATTACATGCCAGAAGCGAGCCATTTGCTGATCTCAGTGCCGATTAGGTGTGGGTTGTCCTCCTGCAAGTAATGAATCCCTGCACCAATGTCAATTGCTCGTGCGTTTTTCATTGTTCGAGCGTACCCCGCTGCATCCTCAGGGGAAAGAAGTCCACCAGGAGTAGCCCAAAAAAGTATTTTGGGCACAGGTGTCTGGAGCAGCCAGTGGTGTCCGTCAGAAAGAATCCGAGCCACATCGACTGGGGTCCCGCCAACAGGTAATTCGTTCGGCCACCGCCAGATGGGCTCGCGCGACGCCTCCGACAAGAACGCCTGGCGATAATGGTCCATCTCCGTCTCAGTCAACTTCCGGACCACACCAGCGGGCAGAAATTCCTCCACGAAAGCGTTTTGCTCGATCAACAGCCTCCGGCCGAGCTCAGGACTGCGGAACGCCTGGAAGGTAGCTCGAGCCGCCTCAGGAAACGCATCCCAGCTGGGAAAGGAACGAACAAATTCCATCAAAACAAGACCAGCAACGCGATTCTCGTTATATCGAGCCCAGTCGAGACCCAGAGCCGCTCCCCAATCGTGGAGCACGAGAACAACGCGATCATCGGGGACCACAATTTTGAGAAAGGCTTCCACGTAGCGACGGTGATCCGTGAATCGATATTCGATATTCTCTGGTTTTCCAGAACGACCCATTCCGATCAGATCTGGGGCAATACAACGAGCCTGTGGCGCAACATGGGGGATGATATTCCGCCATAGATAGGCCGACGTCGGGTTGCCATGGAGGAAGATACAAGTGTGACCAGATTGGACCTTCCCCGTGTCCACAAATGCTATTGTCGAGTCTAGGACATTGATGCTGCGCTGTTCAAATTTGAACTCTGCGGATATTTCTTGGGCGGTCATGGTGAATTGAAGGAGAGAGTAATGAGGACGATGTCAAGGAGAAAAGCCTTCAGGGTAGATGATTCGGTGATGTGGTTTGGTTCCGTCCACAACCAAGCAGCGAGGGAAGTACTGGCCCTTTATATAGTATTGTATTTGCAAGGATCGATCTGTAGGAGCACGGTTGGACAGCTCTTGTGGAATCGATCCGGGCTCAACCAGATGTAATCACGGCTGTGCATCGCCACGGAGTGCCAGGAGTGGTATGGTCTCCACCGCCTTAGCTCAAGCAGCGAGTCGCAACGCGTTACTTGTTGATAGAAAACGTGAGTGCCGCCAAAGTGTATCTCCTCCGCATGTTCCGTATTAATATACAAGTATACCAGTATGCGGCTGCACGGAGAACGATCGAGGCTGGAACCTCCGAGGCAGTGCGGCCGTAACCTGCTGGCGTGCGCCAGAAACGGTATGGTCTCCGCCGTCTTACCAAAGTTAGTTTTCGATGTGCGGGGAGACCATGCCACAGTGGGTGTTCAGCTGCTAAGTTTTACCATGGAGCAGATAAAAGTTGATATCAGCTGTTCTCATTCTATTTGCACAACAGACATGAAGTCCCATCAACCACTACTCCGTAGTGATCCTCAGACCGTCTAATGACATGGCCTCGTGTGCGCATTGATTCCGCTGGCAATGTTTTCCACATTTTCACACCGCAGGTCTTGCGGTGGATGCATCAAGGCGAAACGACGTTGTGATCAGCGCGTCCCGCAGTGTTCGCGGTGCATGCAGAAAGCAGCGACTTGTGTCTATGAGAATCAACCTCTCACGCAGCCTCGGACAGATCTGTCACCATTTGCCCCCAGAGCTGGATCCTTGAAGAACCTCGCGGCTCTCCCGTTCCTTTCGATCCCGCTTGATCTGGGATACGAGCCTCCAGTCCCAGACATTAGGTGGAGAAATAGCAAGATCACACTTTGTTACCTTGCTTCCAAGCTTCAAACGTTTCCAACCACATTCGTCAAGCAAGGCACAACACCTTTTATCCATCACCGGCTGTATTCAAAGCGCTCTCCCATTCAGATCCAACAAGCGTACAATGTCTGCGAGATTATTTGCCACGACGATGGCCAGGATGCTGAGAATCAACAGTCGATTTTGCAGCCGAAGCTGGAACAATTGAGGCTTCAACAGACTAGTATCGCTTCCTTTGATGATCTACTAGCTTCTGTGCAAGCATTGATACTATACCTTGTCGTTTGTTTATTCAACAACAGTCCCGACCTGAGAAGAACCGGTGAACAATTCTGCCCGTGTCTCCACTCATTAACCCGCAGGCTCTGCGAGCAAGCGCCCGCTGAGCTTTCCCATGGTCTTAGCCCCTGGCGGGCTTGGTACTATGCTGAGAGCGTCCGCCGAAGCATCCTTATCTCCCACATGATGCGAGCAGTGTACGCCACAATGAAGCAGGGTTACTACCTCCATACATTATATGTCGAAGCCTTGCCATTCGACCCTCAGACCCTGCGCTGGGATGCGCGATCGGAAAGCGACTGGGTAGCATGCACCCCGTCGACGCACCCACAAATATTATCATATCGCGAATACGCTGATGGTTACGCAACCGGAACCTTGGCGCCGACTGGACTTTTTGAAAGGCTTCTCTTAATCGCATGCTATGGCAAGGAGAGAGTCGACAGCAACTTGGTGCCCATGGAAGTCCATCGTGCTTAAAGTCATCCACGACGCAGGTCCTCTGAGCCGCTGGACTCCTGACTGGCCACTCAGCCGAACGGTCATCAACATAAATTCATGGAGCTCCTCATCGGCTAAATTCTGCCTATACATTGCTGGATGATATTTCAACATCTGCTGCCGTGGACAGCTTCCGATATGGGATAACGCTCTGGACAGCTCAAAAAAGGTCTCAACACGAAACACCAACTGCATTGTGCTGAGAATCTGAGACTTTCCATTCAATCGAATCGGGTGGCATACCCTAGGAGCTTCGTTGTCACTTGTCCGAGCGGATGCCCGGAAGCCGGCACGAAGATGAAGCAAGCAGCATCCCGACGACCTCGCTAGGCAACGATTGCATGCCGGAGCAATCAGAAGCAATCGCAGAGTGACGAGACAGGAGATCAAGCACTCCGCAGAACCGTTCAAGGTACGATGCTTCCATCGCAATGTTCTTGGTTCGGAGGCATATCTCGTCGAGTGACAGTGAGATCAGAAACTCTCTCGCTGATCTTGTATATATTTCAGACAGATCTGAGTCTTGCCCGATCCTCCCCGCCCAAAAAGTACGAATCATCGTTGATGCTGTCTTTGAGATAGCTGTACTGGTGTGAATACGGCGGTCAGAAGCTGGACATCGTCGTCACGTCCGGTAAAAACTGGGCTCAATAGATGAGGGACTTCGAAATGTGCATTATGTGAAACTGAAATCTCATTTAACCTATCCTGACTCTTCTGCGTACTGCTTATGGAGATGTACCCAACTGCTCGCTCGTCTGGCATTGTGAACGGTTCTTCATCCTCTATCACCAGAGCCATTCCGACGGAAAGAGATTGTTGTCTGTAGAGCACTTCCTCTGGATGATGCAAGTTTATAACGCAAGTATTCAACCATTATCCAGAGTTGTCAAATCAAGAGATTCAAAACCTGAGACTAGATTTGTTGGTCGTACTTTAAATACCTCTCCTAGGCACCGACGACGTCTTTCACTACCTCAGCAGCCAGAACATGACTCGAACCAAACTTGAAAAAAAAAAGGACAGAGTTGCCGAATTGGTGAACGATGTGTTTCAATCATATCGAAATGCACGACCGTTTCTTGCTGACGTTGTACCGTTTCGCTCCGATGCTTGAACTTTTCCGGTACTGCAGATGACCTCATGCAGAGTTATAATCTTTAATTCAACTGCCGCAATCACAGTCCACCATATCGTCGGAGGGCACACAACCATCATGTACTCGGCGTCCAAAGCAGCAGCTAACCATATGGCTCACAACTTTTCAGCGGAACTGGCCAAAGCAACATCACGACGAATGGAATATCACGCGGCTGCTCCCCTTAAAACTGACAAGCGGATGGGTAGAGGTACTTGAAGTGAAGAAGAGCTCAAACAGCCAAGCCCGCAACGGCGGCTTAGGCAGCCGCAGAATATTGCCAGTATCTTATTCTTCTTGACATCATCTGCAGGCAGTTACCTGTTAGTCCAGGTCCTGTTCTCGTTCATGGACTTGATTGTCGAAAGGAGCAGCGTAGATATCAAAGTCGATGGTGATATTCGCTTTGCTAGGCAAGTTGTGATCTATCAATCAACAGGGCGTGGCTTGGTCTCCTTCTTGCTGTCTTACTCACCTACTCAACTATCTGCTGTTGAGCTCGCAGACATCTCGGAACGCGGCCCGCCGGAAATTTAGGGAGACCGTACCAATGCTCTACCTGGCCTCCATCATTTCCGGCACGCAGCAGCCCGACGACCTGGAAACTCGGGAACTGTTGGAATAGAAGTTTACAAAACGCCCATGATACTTTGCTTAAGGCGTGATTAACTTCCAAGATGACCTCCCTTTATTCAAGCATTTTAGGCCTTTGCCCTGGCCCTTCATTCCACTTGGTTTGCTCCCATTCTGGCGTTACAAACAAGGTATGTCACCTGCAACCAACATAGGCCAGTTCCGTGAAACTTTGCACGGAGCATGGCGCCTCGCTTCCCAAGCCTCTGTCTCTACCACGAATCCGCAGCATAAATCCTACTTACTCGGCCCCACCGCGACCGGCTTCATCCTCTACACGCCTGACGGGCACATGACGGCCACTGCATCCGCCAACTTACCTCCTATCGAGACCGTCAATCCCGCGGCGGGACTGGCTTCACTGCTCTCGGATGCCGAGGCTGCCGCGTGTGCGCGGAGTTATATTTCGTATGCGGGAGGGTTTGAATTGAGAGAGATCAGTAAGGAAGAAGATGGGGAGAAGTGGGCGGGAGAGAAGGAGAAGGCTATGAAGGACCAAGGTGTTTGGCTGGGGATGCTTGTGCATATTGTGGAGTGTAGCTTATTTCCGAATTGGGTCGGGACAAGGCAGCATCGTATTTGTTCGATCGATCGGGAAGGAGTGTTGACGCTGACGGCCAGGGAGGGGACTGACAAGGACGTAAGTGTCTCATGTGCCGCTTAGGAGTGGTATCTTGGTGATCACTAAATGTTTGATCGACTGATTTTTCTGGATATTTTTAGGGAGAAACTTTCAGAGCCATTGCGAGATGGAAGAAGGCATGAGAATCCATGTGGGAGGAGAGTACGGTGAATTTGCAGCTATATCTGCTACAATCAGCTTTTCCAATCCGTGAGATTCAGCCAAGAAATTAAAGAGAAGAGCTTATTTGTATTGATTGTTTCTCCTATTCCACATCTGTTGCACAATGCCACAATCTTCAATTCACCTACTTTACAAGCGATGATATAGCATTCTGTCTTATTTCATTTTGAATTTGTGACCTCGAGACAACGTTCACACCTCGAGCCTGCAGAGATTGAGGGCAAAGGCCGGTGCCTCTTTACTAAAACATTTGGCGCAAACCCATCTCACGATTCTTTGGTGCATTCTTCCGAAATTTCGACAACTTTGGAGGTCGTATCCTCGAGCCTGATGTCCTTTTGGTAGACTGCAACCAAATCTTCATCCCCAAAGAGATGAGCCACTTCCTCCAACGGTTTGTGCAAGGTGTTGGGATAGCAAAAGTAGACCACAAATGCCGAGCATACCGAGAGCGATATAAAAACCATGTAGAACTTCCAACCAATGTTTGCGAAAGCTGTCGGGGCCAACATCAACCACAGAATATCAATGCAACAGACCCCAACCACTGAAATGGTTATACCTTTGGCACGCAAATGGGTAGGGAAAATCTCGCTAGCATAGTACCATTGTGGCCCTTCTAGGAAGAGGTTGAAAGTGAACAGGAACAGAAAGAAAAAGGCCACGGCAGCACGGAGAGCAGAGTCATTTCCACTTCCCAAAAACTCCGCCACCAAGGCGGCTTCGATGCTGAGGATAACTGTATCGGCAATTATACCGACGGTGAAAATGATATTGCGAGGAATTCGATCGACATAAGTGAGCGATATCAAGTTGCCAGCGATTGCAGCGACGTATGTACCCGCTAGGAGCTGTAAAGACGTCTCGGCGTCATACCCGAGCTCGACAAAAAGGGATGATGCATATGCTGCGGGATCATAAGTATTTGACTCCAGATCCTGAAGACACGACATGCTTACTTGTTAAGACCAGATTTCCAGTGGTAAAAACCATCGGAGGCAAGAAGAACGCCAGCGCGGCACGTTTTCGATACGAAGGGCGCCTGATCACTTCCCACCATGAAGAATCTAGAGAGGCCTCAAGCTCATGTTGCTTCTTCATCTGGGTAAATTCGATCATTGCATATTCATCCGACGAATCTTTCTCACGACGATGTAGTCGCGACACAATGTCCCAGGCACGCTTCTCCTGGCCCCGAGCAAGGAGCCAGCGAGGTGATTCGGGGAGCCAGGGCATTAGGCAAAGGAGGAGAACCGGAGAGACACAGCCCAGAGCGAGGGGGACACGCCACTGAGAATCACTGCTGGTCTGGTAGTAGAAGAATCCCACTCCGACATATGCACCCATGATGTATCCGATCACGCCGAAGAGCCCGACAATGCCGCCCAGGATACTACGCCCTCTCGGGGGGGATATCTCGATAACCCACAGGGGCACACCCACGTACTGCATGAATGCCCTATCGACAACCTGTCAGTCTCAATCGGAGAAGGGGACGAATGACCTAGCAGGGCGAGCCACATACCCCACTCCAACGAAGAAACGAAAGGTAATGAACATGGCAATGTTCACGGACCCAGCCAGACATGCCTCCGAGATGATCAGAATAATGCTTGCCGTTGTCAGGGTGACCTTCCGGCCCCAGCGGTCGGCCATGAAGGAGTTGAGTACGCTCCCTAATGCTCCCCCAGCATAGAAAAGCGAGGTCAGAGCACCAATCAAGGCTGTGGCGTTTGGATTGGTGTCCAGGCCCATGTAACTAATAAAAGAAGGTTGGCCTACGATTTGATCAAGTCAGTACATTCCCCTGTTCATCAAGATGGACATAAAATATGTCTTGCTCTCACCTAAGGTTGTTCCAATTATGGATGCCACATAGGCGTAGGAAATGGCCCCCCATGCTATACCAGCAACTGTCCGTACCAGGCGGCCTTGGTAGTGCCGCTGAGGCTCGGGGTCTGTTGCACGCAACATTGATCAAGAAACGCGGTCGATGATCTTCAATCTTGGCGAGAGGAGGCTCGAAATTGAGAAAGGCTGAGTTACTACGCTCTTTGGTACTGTTGACCTGTCATTAAAGAGACCCTTGTCAAAAGGGCGGGGGCAGGAAGGCGTAAAATGGTGGGGAGAGAAATTCCGAGCCAGATTCGAGGACCGCAACTTAGACCTTCTTTTTACGAGATAAAACGTGGGACATGAATGATGCCATTTAGAGATTAAGACGGAAAAGTCGATCTATCATTCATTCGGTAAGTTCTCTGGAGGGCGGTCATGGCTTTTCCGTAAGTCTCTATCCTTGTCCATCGCCAGTAGTCGAAATTGCGGGGGCGGTGGCGACAGCAGCTTTGTCTGGATTCCGCGCGAAGCATTTCTCTTCAAACAAAAGTACCATCACTCGGGATTCGAGCCCTTTCATACCTCAACAACTCGAAAAAAGATTCAGAGTCCAGGCTCACGACCGACTTGTGAAAGGCGTGGGTGAATTTGGTCGATAGCTCCCTATTCTCCTGTCTAATATGCATCTCTCTCCAGAATGGGCGGAAGTAAGTTTGACTGGAGATTGATGTCGATCACCTCTGCAAGAATGGATATGAGCTGATCATCATCCTCAGTATGCTAAAGCGACACCCCTGCCGGACCTTCAGGTCCCAACAACTGCGACCGAAGCCCAGGCCATCCGTGGCTTCATGGCGCAATTCGAGGACCAAATGATGGCCACTGCAGACAATACTGGACTGAGCGTAAGAGTAGTCTCGATTCCTACAAGGGATTCCCACAAGTTGCGGGCCTTAGTTTATACGCCGGACGGTCCTGGGCAGTATCCAGTGGTTCTATAGTGAGATTTATCCCTCGTGATGATTTGAGATCCTGACACCGTGCTGGATAGCATGCATGGTGGCGGATGGGTGTTGGGAAGACCAGAGACGGATGATAAGTCGGTTCGAGGAGTGTGTCGAAAAGCGAAGGTACTGGTCGTTTCCCTGGACTATCGATTAGCACCAGAGAATCCCTGGCCCACCCCAGTGAATGATTGTGTTGATGGATTGAAGTGGGTAAGTTAAATGATCAACCGAAAGGCAGGCTGAAGTCGTTCATCCTTGGATGGACTAGGTCTTCGAAAACGCTCCCAGCATACGGGGCGACGTATCCAGAGGTGTCATTGTGAGCGGCTTTTCCGCTGGGGGACATCTCGCTGCTACCCTTGCCCTTCGCGCACTCAAGCGCAAGGTTCTGATACCGATTCGCGGAGTTGTGCTTCGGGCACCAATGCTCAGTGATTGGCGTGCGCTTTCAGCATCGGAAGCCAGCGCTCTGAAATCCCTCGAGGAAAACGCGCACGCGCCGGTCATCAACACGGACAGCCTGAAACAGATGATAGCCATTTACAATGTTCCAGGAGACCGACTCCGAGATCCTGAAGAGTTTCCCCTTCACTTGAGTGTCGAAGCTGCGAAAGGATTTCCGCCCACATTCATTCAAGTATCCCAAGCTGATCCGCTTCGAGACGAAGGTCTTCTTTTTAATCAAACGTTGAAAAATGCAAGTGTTAATACTCGGCTACACTACTACGAGGTAAGACCACTGGCATGGTTACATAACATATAGTTATGTTGTTGACACTTGGACAATATAGGGGATGCCTCATGGGTTCCATATGCATAACATACCTACCGCAACTAAAGCGGAGGAGGATTTAGCTGATGGATTTGAATGGATTCTTGACTTTGGCAAACCGGCTTGCTGAAACTTGCCAAAAAAACCCCCCACCCTAAACGCCCCTGATTAGCTACCTTCGTTAGACCATTAAACACATCTAACAGCTTGATCAAAATGGCTTCGTCTGCATTTAGGAGTGATGTCCTCGAATAACTCATTTATGCTCAGTATAGCCAATCAGTCGAAACGATTATATGTATTCGGAATTTCTCGGAATGCGTTACGAATGGCCCTGTTTTCTGGCCCTTGTTGAATAGAATAAGTTGCATGTCAATTCCGTCCAACTCTTGTTAGATAGCTTGACTGAGTGTAGCGGGGTGTTCTTTAACATGAACTCGACCCGTTTCAAGTTCGCCAAAGAAAGTGAGACTTAGAGATTCTGGCTTGTATTCATTGAAAGGGTTCAACTCTACCAGCAGATGGAGTCACTCGCTGGCAAGACGGCGATAGTCACCGGCGGATCTCGAGGTATCGGAGCTACAATCGCCACTCATTTTGCCCAGGAGGGAGTCTCAAAAATTGCCATTACATATGCTGGAAATATTCAAGCGGCAGAAGAAACGCTCACAAAACTTCGCAGCCTCGGAGTGGCCAAGGCGATAGCTCTCCAAGCTAATCTCCTCGATCCTACGTTTGGGCCAGACTTGATCCCCAAAGTCCTTCAAGGTCTTGAGACACAAAAGATTGATATTATTGTCAACAATGCAGGTATTAATGCTGGAGAGTACCTGCAACCCACCTCGCGAACGACAGCGGACATATTTGGGAAGATGTTGCAGGCAAATGCGTATGCTCCGTTGAGTCTCATTAACGCTGCACTTCCCCATCTCCCGGAAAAGGGCGGTCGCATTATCAACATATCCAGTGTGTCCTCTAAACTAGCAAATGGAGACATGTACCTGACATACGGTGCATCAAAGGCAGCCTTGGATAGTATCACGCGGTCACTGGCTGCAAACTTGGGGGTTCAGACGGGGGCAACATTCAACTCGGTCAGTGTGGGGACCACCAGGACGGACGTCATTCAAACAATGCTGGATCAGTATGGAGATAAGCTGCGCGAACAACTGTCGTCTGCTTTCACTGCGGAGAAACGAATAGGCGAGGCAGAGGATGTCGCCTTCGTGGTTGGATTTTTGGCCAGTGACAAAAGTAGATGGATTAATGGAGCTAGCATACCCGCAAACGGAGGACAAAAAGATCTTCTAGCACTACAAGGTTAGGAAGACTATCTATTTTAGCATTCTGCAAAAGACGGCGGACATCATTGATGTGCTCGCACGGTCTCTGTCGTTGGCATGATTCACAGAGTTCTTCTACTTAGAATTCGGATTGAGCCCAAACAACGTTGCCCAAACACTCAAAACATCAGAGAACAACTTGGAAAGAACAGCCGACGCAGGAGGTGCCTTTGGGCTAAGTGTCATTCTGTAAGCTACGACAAATTATTGTTGCTTAACCAAGGAAGAGATCACGTATCTAGAGACGTATCGGTCATATCGCTGTCTCAGAAGTATCATAATCTGAGTATTCCGATACAATTCCGGTTGTAAATCTAGCGGCTCTACAAGCACCCTACGTACCTTCACTCCGTCTTTAAGGAAGCTAAGTAGCGGTGGAAGCTTGTTCCGGAAAGATTCTCGGAAAATGTGACTGGTGAAGCCATGCCTTGTCATGCACTTGCCAAAATCCTGAGCCTTTGGCATTGAAGAACCAAGCCATTACCGGAGCCTTTCTTTGACATCGCGCAATCTTGCACAAGAATGTCGACCTGGCGAGAGAATCTCAAATTCGCAGCCCCAGGGGTACCGTACGGTGAGCGCTTGGTGCCGAACGTGATCGATGAGGCGGCCGAAAAGGATCCTAATCGCATCCTGGTTATGATCCCGAAGAAACCGGATATATCGCAGGGATGGTTCACTTTGTCGACAAAGAATCTGGCTGATTATGTCAACTGCATGTCCTGGTGGTTGGAAGAAAGGCTCGGGAAAAGCGAGCACATCGAAACCATTGCATACTTGGTATGGAAACTCGATTGATGCCGCACCAAAGAGAAACGTATTCAGGTTACTAACGTAGAAAGGGCGCCAATGATTTTCGCTTTTTGGTGATCGAACTGGCGGCCATCAAGTCCGGCTATTGTGTGAGTGCTCAGCCTTTTCACCTTCAAAAGAATTGAACTAATGTTTTGTGCAGACTCTTCTCCTATCCCCTAGAAACTCCCCTGGGAATACGTTAAACCTGCTAGGGACGACAAACTGCAAAGCAGTCTTTTATACTGCGGACAGATCAACTCAAATCGCCAAATTAAAACAGCAAACAGATGAAATACCTCTATTCTTATTCCCATCCATAGAGGAGATCCAGCAGACACCTCCTAAACCGAAACATCCGTACAACAAAACGTGGGAAATGGCTAAGGATGACCCAGTCATCATTGTCCATACTTCTGGATCTACTGGTAGGCAACCCGAGAACCTGTCATTAAGGATGCCGTCAATGTTCATAACACTGTTTACCAGGTGATCCAAAGCCGGTGTATTACACGAATAGATTTCTCGCAGTCATGGATCTAGACAGGTTGGTGCCTCCGTGCAATGGTCGCACTTGTGGAGGCTTGAACATGTATGGAGACTCCAACACTGCGTATCTCGTTGGATCCCCAATGTTCCACCTAAGTGGTCTGGCCAACTCGATGGCACCACTGTGGGCAGGAGCTACCATGATTCTTCCACCCTCCGATATGCCTCCTACTGCATCAATAGTTGTGGAGATGATGAAGCATGTCGAAATTCACGGAATGGCTCTCCCTTCTTCGATATGGGAGGAACTTGTTGGTGAATATCAAGATGAGTTCCTGGCCGTCTCCAGGTATATCAAACACGTCACAATTGGCGGTGGTATGTGAGAAGTCCATGTCTCATTCCTGTACCTAAAACTGCGACTCGTCTTGCTTACAGATGACTTCAGGACCACTGGCACGCGCTGTTGGAGACTGGTTGTCCGAGAGGTTCTACGTCATGAACGGAATTGGGTCAAGCGAGACCGGCTTGTTGCACTCTCTAATTCCCGAGAAGGAGGACTGGGAGTACTTCGAATGGCACCCTACTCACGTTGGATACAAGATGGAGCCGATCGGAGACGACGAAGGTCTTCATGAGATGGTCCTTTACCGCGACCCCGATTTGAGTAAGTTCCAAGGGGTTTTCATCACACAACCAGATATAGATGTCTGGCGCACGCGAGATCTTTTCGAAAAGCACCCTACCAAGGACATGTGGAAATTCAGAGGCCGACGCGACGACGTCATCGTGCTCTCTAATGGTGAAAAATTTAATCCTGTCATCGCGGAGGGGATCATAATGGGCCACCCAAAGGTGGCAGGGGCCGTCGTTGTGGGAATGCAAAGGCTACAGTGTGCCTTGCTTGTGGAATTAAGGGACAAAATCCCCAGGGATACCGCGATTGACGAAATCTGGCCTACGGTGGAAAGGGCCAATCTGGAATCCCCCGGGCATGGCCACATTTCTCGCAACTTGATTATGGTCATTCCGCCAGACAAACCCTTTAAGAGAGCTGGGAAAGGGACGATAATACGACCGGTAGTTGTGAAGGATTTCGAAGCTGAAATCGACTGTCTTTACGATACGTTCGAGTCGGCAGCTGCTAACATCGACCTCCCCACTTTAGAATATCCTCCCGATGATGAGAGGACCAAAACCTTCATCAAGCAGCTGGTGGCTTACCAGTGGAATGACCCTGATCTGCCTTCGGATACCGACGATCTGTTCAATGCTGGGTTTGATTCACTTCAGGCGAGCCAATTTTCGACAAATCTTCAAGCCGCCTTGAGGGACAAGCTACTGAACAAGCGCAAGATTACGCCCAAATTGATCTATGAGAACCCGAACATTGAAAAGATCTCATCAGCGCTGAAGATGATCCTAGATCAGGAAGCAACGGATGACCGAAAGGCGAACGGCGTCGATGATACTGGAGACCACATGAATGGAACCGGAGCTGAAGAAGAACACAAGTTTCTTCTTCAGCGTCTAGTGACCGAGTTCTCAACCCCTTATCTGTCGAAAGGCGTGGAGAAAAAGTATCTGGCCTCCAAAGAGTACTTGCATGTGCTTGTAACCGGAACAACCGGCTCCCTGGGGCATTCCTTGGTCGAAGCGCTCTTGTCTGACCCTATGATTGGACGGGTGTCTTGTTTCAATCGCGCCAGCAACGCAGAGGAGATCTTCTTGGCTCGTACTAAAGCAACAAAGAATCCTCGGCTGGATTTTTTCCAAGTGTTGTTTGGACACCCAAACTTCGGCTTGGAAAAAGAAACTTTGGAAAGACTACAGCAAGAAGTTGATGTGATCATTCATAATGCGTGGAAGGTATGCATATGTGAGGTCTTGGGGCCGTCATTGTTCCTCTGACTAGGTCATGTGGCTGACCGAATCGTTCCAGGTCGATTTCAACCAGTCTCTGGAGTCCTTCGTAGACGTCCACATACAGGGACTCGACCACTTCATCTCATGGTGCCTCACGTCGACAAAACACCCGAGCCTCTATTTCGTTTCCTCGGTATCCTCAATGAGTCGCTGGTCTGCGATTCAGAACCCGCTCATACCGGAATCTGTTTCAGATGACTGTCGAGTCGCAGCTCCCAACGGATATGGCAGCTCCAAATATGTCGCGGAAAGGATGCTAGAAGCAGCGTCACGCGCTGGCGTTCGTGCTTTCATCTTCCGCATCGGGCAGATAAGCGGTCCAGTCCGGACAGAGACCGGCCGCTGGAATGACAATGAATGGTTTCCTAGTCTGGTCAAAACAAGCAAAGCCTTGAAGATGCTGCCTGAAAACGTCGGTGCCATTGGCGATATCGACTGGATACCACTCGATGTTCTGACAGACATTATGACCGAAATCATCCACAGTACTGTTCATGCGGAGGTTGGTCCCGGGGCTAAAGTCTTCAATCTGGTCAACCCCCATAAGGTCAAGTTTGATGTTCTTGCACAGGCTATCAAAAAGGAATACCTGGCCGAGATTGTCCCATATAGGACTTGGATTCAGACACTCGAGAAACTGGAATCCACTCGAGCCAATTTCGTTCGATATCCTGCACTGAAGCTCCTTGACTTCTTCCGAGCAAATGAGCAGCCAGATGAATCAACTGCCAGCTCCAAGGTTTGGGACACTAGGGAGTCTGAAAAAGCTAGTCAGACAATGCTTGCCCTGAAGCCAGCTTGTGCCGATGACATGAAAATGTGGATAAAACAGTGGGCGTATTAAGCCATCACACAGGAAAGACAGCCATATGGTTGAACCGGTTAATGCAGTTGAGAACGGCTGATCCCTCCTTTAGATTGGAAACAGTTGACGAGACTTGTTGTGAACATTGTCCCAGTTAGACATACAGTCATAACAAGGTCTTCTTACTTAGGCTTATACACGGAGCTGCCAGAAAGGAATCATCCTCTGGAGATGTGGGCTGCAGGGTATGAAGTACAGGGCTGCGCAGATACATTTTATCGGACTAGATATTTTTTACTGTACTTGAGTTGGCCATGCTTCACTTTCGTTAGAAAATGTCTTTCACAAGATTGATTGGTGGCCGGCACATCCATTGAGCCCATTTTTCTCAGTATAAAATTCCCTAATCAATATAAAAAATAACCTTTATAATCTGGGTTCGGCAGCGCTTGGAACTTCTTCAAGATCTGGTAGATAATCTGCCGAAGGGACACTGCTATGCTCGAGGTTCACAATTGTTTTCTTTACGCATGGGTCAATTGGCGAATTATCTTTCTCCTTGATGTACCAGGAAAGATCACCCCCTCTCTTCTCGGCCGAGCTGAATCCGTTCCCCAGGTAGGCAAAGCGATTGGTATCCTCGTATGTCCAGCGATAATCTTCGTAGCGAGGTGAGGCTAGCGTCTCGAGATAGTGCAAGCCTGAGCCAGGCCAGATGGCCACGACTTTGCCATGGATGCTGCCTGCCTTGTACCATGATCGGCAATCGTCGGTCCACACTGTAATGGAAAGAAAGACTTAGAAGTGCGGCGGGACATCGCAGAAATGGCAAAAGCTTACCGAGGTGACTTAACAATTCGTCCTTGTGATCGTTGAATTCTTCGACCACCTCTTTCATTACCTCAAATGTGCTATGTCGAATGTCAGCAGATGTTGATGATTGCAAGTCGAACTGTGTAGATGCCTGACG